TTAGTGAGAATCTAGGTCTGCCAAGCCCATGCTAGTTTCGTTAGCCCAGGTAACCAAAAGTGCTCTATTCCATTTAGCGATTCTGTTTTCCATTTAGCGATTTGTTTCCCTATTTTCATTTATTTATTTTTGATACAGAGTCTTACTCTGTCACCCAGGCTGAAGTGCAGTGGCACGATCTCGGCTCACTGCAACCTCTGCCTCCTGGGCTCAAGCAATTCTGCCTCAGCCTCCCAAGTAGCTGGGATTACGGGCGCCCGCCACCACGGCTGGTTAACTTTTGCATTTTTAGTAGAGACAGGGTTTCACCATGTTAGCCAGACTGGTCTCGAACTCCTGACCTCAGGTGATCTGCCTGCTTCGGCTTCCCAAAGTGCTGGGATTATGGGCATGAGCCACTGCACCTGGCTTCTGGAAGCTTTAAGAAGAGGACCTCTGCTAAGTTCTGAGAGGCCTCCTGAGTTTTTTCCAGGTAAGGTTACCTTCTCTCAGGGGAGAGTAGTGCTGTGCACACTCCGAGCCAGCATGGTGTCTCATAGTGATAAGGATGTCCCACGCAAAACCTGGTTTGTATTTTATCCAGTAATTTGAACTGGAGCCCAGGTTTCTGACGTTGAAGACTTGTTTTCTGCCACATCAACTATGCTGACCAGTAAGATTCCTGAAGACAGCCTCTCACCAGTGCAATTTCTCCTAAATTTCTACCAAATGCCAGAAGCGACTGATCAGTCTTGGGAAGTGGGAGAGGGGGTGGGGGTGGGGGAGATCCTGTGGAAGGAGGGTATTTTCTGCTTTCTTAGCCCTGTTAGCAAGACCCCCTCCTTCAGAAAAGTCAGGGCAGTTTTTCCTCCAGACAATTAATTAGTCAATGTGTCCCAGAGCCCTTTGTAGGGAAAACTGGCTTGGGGACAGCACAGACCAGCAAGAGGCAGAACACAGGGATTGAGACAGCACTAGGGGGATAAGCCTCGCTCTGAATTCAGCGTCATAATATCCCATCCTGGCTGTGCCAAGGCTGAACAGGAGTTACGCTAAAAGAAAATTGACGGCTGAGCACAGTGGCTCACGCCTGTAATCCCAGCACTTTGGAAGGCCAAGGCAGGTGGATCACCTGAGGTCAGGAGTTCGAGACCAACCCGTCCAACATGGGGAAACCCCGACTCTACTAAAAATACGGTTCTCTACTAAAAATACCAAAAAAACTAGCCAGGCGAGGTGGCGGGCGCCTGTAGTCCCAGCTACTCGGGAGGCTGAGGCAGGAGAATGGCGTCAAACCCGGGAGGCGGAGCTTGCAGTGAGCTGAGATCGGCCACTGCACTCCAGCCTGGGCGACACAGCGAGACTCTGTCTCAAAAAAAAAGAGAAGTGCAGGGAAGTAACCTCTAGACAGAGGCGACCTCCAGAAGGGTCGCCTCCAGCCGCATCCCCATTTCTTTCCAACATATGGAAAGGCAAGCTCCAAACCACCAGCACTGCTCCTTTTAGTTTCCTGAGTGGGCTGCTGGCCAGCGTCCAGGCCCCAACAGGTGGGCCATAGGTCTGCTATGCTGAAGGCCTGGAGAGCTACAGGGACGCATGTCCTGGATACAAATTTGTGATTTGGGACTTGGAGGTGGCATGCAACAGCCAGTGAGTTCATTTTCTTTCTTTTTTTGAGACCAGTTTCACTCTGTTGCCCAGGACTAGAGTGCAGTGGTGTGATCTTGGCTTACTGCAGCCTCTTGCTGGGCTCACGTGATTCTCATGCCTTAGCCCCCAAGTAGCTGGGATTACAGGTGCACACCACCATTCTTGGCTTCTTTTTTTTTTTTTTTTTTGTAT